CGTCTACCCGCCCCGGGCCGCGTCTGCTCCGACGGGCGGGGCAGCCAGAGCCGGGGAGGGAGAGGGAAGCCCGCCCTGGCCCTGCGACCTGCCCGCGGGCGTCCCGCCCCGGAGCTCGAGACCTCCAGCGCGTCCCTCCTCAGACCGGGCAGTTCGGGCCCCCAGCCTCTTCTCCCGCGGACCGAGGGTCCCCGGCCTCCTCCCTCAGACCCGGGAGCCCAGGCCCCCAGCTCCTCCTCCCTCGAACCCGGGAGTCCAGGCCCCAGCTCTCCTCCCTCAGACCCAGGAGTCCAGCCTCAGCCCCTCCTCCCTCGGACTCAGAAGTCCAGACCCCTAGCCCCTCCTCCCTCAGACCTCGGAGTTCAGGTCCCCAGCCTCTCCCTCAGACCTGGGAGTCCAAGCCCCCAGCCCCTCCTCCCTCAGACCCAGGACTCCAGCTTCCCCTCCTCCCTCAGATCCAGGGGTCCAGCCTGAGCTCTGTCTCCTCCCTCCCCCAGGTGTTTGCTGCCTGGTCCTGGTCGCGCTGAGCCTGTGGCCAGATAGAGCTGTTGCCCCTGGACCACCTCCCGGCCCCCCTCGAGCTTCCCCGGACCCTCGTGCCGAGCTGGACAGCACCGTTCTCCTGACCCGTTCCCTGCTGGTGGACACGCGGCAGCTGACGACGCAGCTGGTAGGAAAACCGGGCTGGGCAGGGCAGGAGCGACAGAGATGGAGAGTGACCGAGAAGGGCCCCCAGGCAGGCCACCTGCAGGCCTCTAGGCCCTTGGGTGGCAGAGGTGGGGAACAGAAGAGCCCTGAGGCTGGGCGGGATCTCCCTCATAGCTTTTTTTTTTTGAGTCGGGGTCTCCCTGCATCACCCAGGCTGGAGTGCAGTGGCACGATCAGGGCTCACTGCAGCCTTGACCTCCTGGGCTCAGGCGATCCTCCCCTCTCAGCCTCCCAAGTCGCCAGGGCTAATGTTGCCTAGGCGGTCTCAAACTCCTGGGCGCAAGCGGTCCTCCCACTTCGGCCTCCCAAAGTGCTGACATTACAGGTGTGAGCCACCATGCCCGGCCCCCCGTCACTGCTTTCTTTCCACCAGAGGGACAAATTCCCAGCCGAAGGGGACCACAACCTGGACTCCCTCCCCACCTTGGCCATGAGCGCGGGGGCTCTGGGAGCCCTGCAGGTGAGGCAGGGAGTGGGCTGGGGCAGAGGTGGGAGTGGGCGGCGAAGGGGCATGGAGGAGGGGGCTGGAGCAGGCATGGCCAGACGCCCCTGACATCCCCGTCACTGTCCCCAGCTCCCGGGTGTGCTGACACGGCTGCGAGCTGACCTGCTCTCCTACCTGCGCCACGTGCAGTGGCTGCGCCGCACGGGTGGCCCGTCCCTGAAGACCCTGGAGCCTGAGCTGGGCACCCTGCAGTCCAGGCTGGACCGACTGCTGCGCCGGCTACAGCTCCTGGTAGGTCCTGGCTCTGCAACCCCACACTCCAGACCCTGACTCCAGAGACCCCAAACCTGTGGCCCGAGGCCCAAGTCCCAAGACCCCAGGCCTCCGAACCCTCGGCAAGAACCTGCTATGAGAGAGCCAGTGGCCCCAAGACCCTGAGGCCCAGGCCCCCAAATCCTACCAGGAAGCCAGAGTTTCTTCCCAAGACCCTGAGGCCCCATTGTCCACGATCTGGTGGCCCCAGCATTCCAGCCTCGAGACCTCACCCCACCCTGAAGCTCTAAGGCTTTTTTTTTTTTTTGAGTTAGAGTCTTGCTCTGTCACCCAGGCTGAAGTGCAGGGGCATGCTCACAGCCACTGCAGCCTCAACCTGCTGGACTCAGGTGATTCTTCCACCTCAGCCTCACGAGTAGCTGGGACTATAGGCGTGCACCACCACACTCAGCTAATTTTTTCATTTACTTTAGAGATGAGGTCTCACCAAGTTGCCCAGGCTGGTCTCGAACCCCTAGCCTAGGCCTCCCAAAGTGCTGGGATGACAGGCATGAGCCACTGCACCTGGAGATCTAACCCTCCCCTCAAGACTTGGGGGCCCTGGCCCCAAAACACCGAAAATCACAACCCTCCAGACCCAGAGACCCCCCAAGCCCCACCCCAAGACCCTGACATCTCAAGGCCCCAGACCTAGACCCAAGATCTGAGACCCTGACCCAAAGCTAGCCTCCAGACCCCGGCTCACAAACCCCAGGCCTCAAGAGCCTAGACTGTGAGATCTCAAACCATAAGACTCCAGATCCTCAGCCCTGAGACCCACGTCTCACTCCCAAGGTCTAAAACCCTGAAACCATGCCTGTTATCCCAGCACTTTGGGAGGCCAGGGCCGGAGGATCGCTTGAACCCAGGAGTTCAAGACCAGCCTGGACAACATAGCGAGAACCTGTCTCTACAAAAAAAAAAAAAAATTTTTTTAACTTAGCAAGGCATGGTGGTGCATGCCTGTAGTCCCAGCTTCAGGAAGCTGAAGCAAGAGGATCACCTGAGCCCAGGAGGTTGAGGCTGCAGTGAGCCGCGATGGTGCCACTGCACTCCAGCCTGGGTGACAGGGCTCAAAAACAACAACAACAAAACCCCTGAAGCCTCAGAACCCAATCGTGAGCTCATAAGACCCCAGAGCCTGATGTCCAAATCCCCAGACCCAAGGACCTGAGACTAGAAGGACCCTGAGGACACTGGGTCTCCAATTCCAACTCCCAACCCTGAGACTTCAGACTTGAGACCCCAGCCCTCACCATGAGTCCCTGAGCTCCATCCTAGAGACCCCACACCTAAGACCCTGAGACCCTGAGCCTGACCCCAGGCTTGAGCCCACAGACCCCAGACATGGTCCCTAAACCCTAGCTCCAAGATTCCAGCCCTGACAAACCCTGAGAGTCCCCAGCCCTCTCTTCAAACCCAGATCCCAGCTCTGACTCTGTGGACTCACCCTCAACCCCCAAACTTAGTCCTGGAAGCCCCTCTTTATTTTTTATTTTTATTTTTATTTTTTGAGTTGGAGCCTCACTCTGTCACCCAGACTGGAGTGCAGTGGCCGCTCCCGGCCATCGCAGCCTCAACCTGCTGGGCTCCGGCGATCCTTCCGCCTCAGCCTTCCGAGTAGCCGGAATTACAGGCGTGCGCTACCATGCCCGGCTGATTTTTTGATTTATTGTAGAGATGAGGTCTCGCCTGCCCAGGCGGGTCTCGAACCCGCGGGCTCAGGCAATCCACTCACCTCAGCCTCCCAAAGGTGCGGGATTACAGGCTGAGCCACCGAGCCCAGCTATTTATTTTATTTTTTATTTATTGTGAGTAGAGACAAGGTCTCACTATGCTGCCGGGGTTGGTCTCAAACTGCTGGGCTCAAGCGATTCTCCTGCTTCGATCTCCCACCGTGCTAGGATTGCAGGCATGCACCACTGCATCCAGCCTGAGATAGCGACATTTTGACCCCAGCCTCAGCTTCCTGCACCCGAGTCCTTCAAGACCTCACTGCCCAGACCCCTCATCCCAGACCTCCTCCACCCCAGATTCAGTCCCCTTCCCCGCACCTGGTGCACCCTCTACCTGTTGCCAACTTACCATCCTCCTCCCACAGATGTCCCGCCTGGCCCTGCCCCAGGCGCCCCCAGACCCACCGGCGCCCCCGCTGGCGCCCCCTGCCTCCTCCTGGGGGGGTGTCCGGGCGGCCCATGCCATCCTTGGGGGCCTCAACCTGACACTCGACTGGGCCGTGCGGGGCTTGCTTCTGCTGAAGACGCGGCTGTGACCTGGACCTGAAGAAGCTGCCATCGCCCTTCAAAGCCAGATTTTATTTATTTATTTATTTGGGTACTGGGGGCGGGGAAGCCGGGTGATACCCCCCATTGCCTCCCCCTCGTTAAAGATAGTCCTTCCGGGAGACTTGGGGGAGTGGGGAGCTTCTGTGCCTTATTTATACTTATTTATTTAAGAAAGGGGATGGGAGGCCGGCAGACTCCTGGGCCCCAGAGCAGGAGGGAGCTGGAGTCCCAGACTCTCATCTGAGAAGTCCGTCCACAGGGTCCTACCCCTCTGGGCCTGGGCTGGAACGTATATTATTTATTAAACAGTTACTTTTTGTGTTGGGGCGGGGCGGGAGGGCAAAGGGAAGCCTGGGTTTTTGTACAAAAAATGTGAGAAACCTTTGTGAGACAGAGAACGGGGAATTAAATTTGTCATACGTGTCCATTTAGGGGTGACTTCTCTGATGACTGGGCTGGACGCTGGGGTCCCTGGGGGCAGGGGAAGGTGTGGGTCCTGAGTTGGCAGGGGAGGAGTCGAGACAGGTCAGTCTCCCAGAGAGCTCTGTGGAAGCAGGGTCTGAGCCTCACCTGGAGCCCAGCACTTCTCAGGTCCTCAATATCTAATAGAAAGTTCTGGACGCTTCTAGAAGGTTGCTCTGTGACCGACACTACCCTAAGGACCAAGCTGCAGGCTCAAGGTTGTTCGCTGTGGCAATGTTCACGATAGTGCAAGTTGGAAACAACCTAGGTATCCAACAGTTGGGGGTGGATGGTTAAATAAAACATGGCACACCAAGAAGAGAGGCCACAGGAAGAAGACTACCTTCAACACGGAAAGATGTCCCGAGACACCGCACAGCAGGCCACAAAACCTCGACTTTGTCTTTCCCTTTCTATATATAAAGACTTAAACAAAAAAAAAATCCCAGAGGGAAATACATGTAAATGTTGACAATGACCCTCTCGGGTCAAAGGTGAGAGGTGGGACGGTGGGTGACTTTTGTTGTCTGCGCTTGTCTGTATTTTTCAGAACTTCTACCGTGACTGTGTATTTTGCATGACACATTTAAAGACAATAATAAACACTATTTTTAGAACGACAGAATGCCAGCCTCCCCTCCCCCAACACAAGCCCTTGGAGGGGGAGGGGGTGGTGGTGACTGAGCCCCCACTCGCTCGGGGCTGGGCGCTGGGTTCTTCTGCGCCCTTGCTTTTCAGACCAGGGAAATGGGAGTCTCAGATGGGGAGCTGGGGGGCTTCTGCTGCTCAAGGGCGCACAGCCAGGGAGACTGGACGGCGATTCTGCTCAAGGGCTGGTTCGTCCAAAGCTCGAGCTCCTCTCTTTGCCCTCAGTGTTCAGGACCCATTGACATGGGTGCACGCACCTCAGATATGGGGAGACCGAGGCCCAGGAAGGGCTTGGGCCTTACCCGGGGTCTAAAGAAGGGTCAGCAGCAGAGTTGGGGTAATCATTTAAACCCTCTGGTTAATAGTCCGCTTCTGCAAACCAGACAGACCCCCAGAGGTTGTGATGTCACCAATTTGGGTCTGGGGTGGGGAATTCCAATTCACTCGGCCTGGCCCAACCCTCCACCCATATTCCCAGAGGAGAAAGGAGCCCCCCGACCCACAGAGGGTTCCCAGGAAGAGTCTCCTGTGTGTCAGATGAGGTCACAAAGCCCCTCCACAAAGGCTCCTCCCCCAGGCCCGAGCTGGGCCCCCGCAGGCCCATGGCCTAGGCCCGAGTCTCCCAGCCTGGGGAGCGGGGCTCCTGGCACCCCTGAAGCCCCAGGGGGCCACGGCCAGTGGGCGGGGTGGGGAGGGCTGCAGGCCTGGGTCCCAGGCCCCGGGGTTGACACCTCAACCAGCATGAACCAGCTTCAGAATGCCAGGCGCCTTGAGCGGCCGCGGGGTGCCCCAAAGTGGGTCCCCGTTCTGGGGGAGCTGCAGAAGACCCTCCAGAAGGGCGAGTACCTCCCCCTCCGCCCGCTGCCCATGTTCGAGAGTAACTTTGTCCAGGTCCCCAGCTCCCGGCGCCCTGGGGGCTGAGGGGGG